TATTCATAAGCAAAAGAGGAAAGTCAAATCCCTAAGTAAATCGATTCATGGTTCGGTCTCAAATACCGCATGACACTAACGATTACATGATTTTGACTCAAAACTTTTCCTTGTAGATGTTGAATTACAACTTGTACTTTACTGCCCTAAATCTCTTAGGAGATAATTATTTTAAAATGGGCAATGGATACTAAGATTATCCTAAAGTCAAAAGGACTTGGTGAATGTATCTAATAAGGTAAGAATGCCAAGAGAGAAAGATAGATACAAGGCAATATTAGCCACCATCTTATTGAGAGTCTCATAATCCAGGACTATAAGTCCGTGGATGAGTCTATTGCTAGATGAAAAAAAAATAAAAATAATGACTTACAGATAAAAACAGTGAGTTACGACCTCATAGATTAACCCCATTACCTAATGCCAATAAGGCCGCAGAGGATAAGAAAGAATCCAAAGAATCTAACCACGTCTAAAGTGATAGACCACACGGCCGTGACCGTGGTGGATGGAAAGGACGTGGTTGTGGCCACTATAACTCATCCGGCCGTGGGAACCACTATAACCGTGGATGTAGACCCAATTCCGGCCGTGGTCGAGGGCGAGGACGATGTGGTATTTCCAAACTACAACACTCGACCAAATGAGTATGCCATAGATGTGGTATTGAAAGGACGTGGTTGTGGCCACTATAACTCATCCGGCCATGGGAACCACTATAACCGTGGATGTAGACCCAATTCCGGCCGTGGTCGAGGGCGAGGACGATGTGGTATTTCCAAACCACAACACTCGACCAAATGAGTATACCATAGATATGGAATGGGAAACCATTGGGCTAAGATATGTAGGACTTCCAAACATCGTTGTGACCTCTATCAAGAGAGTGTAAAGGGAAGAATCCTAAAGCCCATTTGGTATATAAAGATGGTGAACATGATCAAGATGATCTAATAGAGTATGAAACTTCTGATTGCATAAAAGAATCAAGTTGATAAATCTTACTTCGACATCAAAACCTCTATGTTTTTCTTTGCATTTTATGTGTTCATTGATTGTTATTTGCTTGAATTTATTTTATATTATTTTATGTTTAGAACATGATTCTTGTCCATATAAGAAATGGCCGAGGACAAGAACATAATTGTGGTGGATAGTGGAGCCACACAAAAGATAAGAGATATTTTCCTAAATCTCATAATGAAAAATGCCAATATTAGCACCATAGCGGGTATAGCTAGTCTTATTGAGGGCCATGGTCAAGCCCATATACTTTTATCAAAGGGCACGCATCTTGAAATAAGCGATGCCCTATATTCACCCAGCTCGAAGAGGAGCTTGTCAAGTTTCAAAAATATAAGATTGAATGGTTTCCATATTGAAACAAAGGGTGAAGGGAACAAAGAATTCCTAAATATAATTGAGATCACCCAAGGACATAAGAAAGTCCTAAGAGACTATACCCGCATTATCCACTGGTCTCTACTATGCTAAAATCGATATGATCGAAGCTAATATGGCAATGAACAAAGAGTTCATCGAGAAATTCACTTTATGGCATGACCGGCTTGGCCATCCGGGTCATAGTATGATGCGTAAACTAATAACTAATTCAAAGGGGCACACCCTAAGAGAGAAAAGAGTTATCCCTAAGAATCTCACGTGTGAAGCATGTTCACAAGGGAAACTCATTATAAGGCCATCACCGGCTAAGGTAAATAAAGAGACCTTAAAATTTCTGGAAAGGATACAAGGAGATATATGTATGGTCCTCATTGATGCATCGACAAGATGGTCGCATGTTTGTCTCCTATCTACTAGAAACCAAGTGTTTGCTAGGTTATTGGCCCAGATAATAAGACTGCGAGCCCACTTTCCAGATTTTCCGCTTAAGACTATACGTCTAGACAATGCCGGTGAATTCACGTCCCAAGCGTTTAATGACTACTGTATGTCCATGGGGGTAAGTGTGGAACATCCCGTAGCACATGTACATACACAGAATGGATTAGCGGAATCCTTCATTAAACGAATTCAATTGATAGCTCGACCATTACTCATGAGGTCGAAGCTTCCTGTAGCCGCTTGGGGACACGCTGTTTTACATGCATCAGGGCTTATACGCATAAGGCCATCTAGTGAAAATAGATATTCACCATCCCAATTACTCATGGGTCATGAGCCAGACATATCCCATCTAAAGACTTTCGGGTGTGCCATATATGTACCGATCGCTCCACCACATAGAACAAAGATGGGACCTCAAAGGAGGATGGGAATATATGTTGGATTTGATTCTCCCACCATTATTAAGTATCTAGAGCCAACTACGGGTGATCTATTTAAGGCTAGATACGCGGATTGTCATTTTAATGAATCCGAATTTCCTACTATAGGTGGAGAGACGAACAAGCTGGGTAAAGCAATAAAAGAAATATAATGAAATCAAACATCCTTAAATTGGCAAGATCCTCGGACTCTGGCATGAGAATCAGAGGTCCATAAGATTATACATTTGAAAAGCTAGCTAATCAATTGCCAGATTCCTTTGCTGACCCAAAGAAAGTTACAAAAACGTACATACCAGCTTGTAATGCACCAGTACGTATTGATATCCAAAAGCGAATCAATGAAATTGCTACCGAGTCTAACACACGAAAGAAACGTGGTAGACCAATAGGTTCCAAAGATAAAAATCCTCGAAAATCAAAGAAAGGTGCAATAAGAATCCGAGGTTACTAAGGAAACCATCCCAGACATGGAGATAAGGCCGGCCGGCTCTAAGGTACAGGTACCATATAATGTAGCTTGGGACGCCAAGCTGCAAAGTATTAAAGGTCCTGACCATAATAAATCTCAAATCGATTATATCATGTCTGGAACATAATGGAACATATAAGAAATGTCGACATAAGATGATTTTGCATGCAAGGTAGCACTTGAATTTATGAATATAAATGAGGATCAGGAGCCCACGTCTATACTAGAGTGCACTCAAAGACTTGATTGATTAAATGGTACAAGACCATAAAACGTGGAGCTAAGAATCATTAAGAAAAGGAATGAGTTTGGTCCGACCTTAAGGACACCATTCGATGTAAAAACCAGTAGGACACAAATGGGTCTTTGTGAAGAAGAGAAATGAGAATAATGAAATCGTGAGATATAAGGCACGGCTTGTAGCACAAGGATTCTCACAAAGACCGGGGATAGATTATGAAGAAACATACTCCCCTGTGGTGGATGCTAAGACATTTAAATTTTGCTAAGTCTGGCTATATAAAGAAAAAGACTTGATTTGCGGCTAATGGATGTAATGCCTGCATATTTATATAAGTCCACTGGATGATATATATGAGATTACCAGAGGGTATTGAGCTCAAAGATAAAGATAAGAAAGGGTCTCGAGACCAATACTGCATAAGGCTGAACAAATCGCTTTATGGACTGAAACAAAGTGGACGCATGTGGTACAATAGATTAAGCGAGTACCTAGTCAGAGAAGGTTATAAGAATGATCCCATCAGTCCATGTATCTTCATAAAGAAATTTGCAAACGAAGGGTTTGTGATAATAGCAGTATATGTGGATGATTTGAACATCCTTGGAACCTCTGGGGAAATCGCCCAAACAGTCAAATATCTAAAGAAAGAATTCGAGATGAAAGACCTAGGCAAGACAAAATTCTGTTTGGGATTGCAACTTGAGTACGTGAATAATGGAATCCTTGTGCATCAAAAGGCATATACTGAAAAAGTACTCAAGAGATTCAATATGGACCAGGCCCACCCATTGAGCAGCCCAATGGTGGTGAGAAGCCTCGGATTGGATAGTGATCCATTCGGTCCAAAAAAAGGATGAGGAAGAAGTTCTCGATCCTGAAGTGCCATACCTTAGTGCCATAGGAGCGTTAATGTACTTGGCTAGCCACACTAGACCAGACATATGTTTTGCCGTGAACCTCCTTTGCCTAAATTTAGTTCATGATCAACCCAAAGGCACTAGAAAGGTTTGAAGGAAGGTTTGGTTAAATTTTAAATTCTATTCTTCCTATGTTTGTTTATTTGGGTTTTATTCTATACTGATCTAACCAAAGAAGGTCTAGTTTGCTTTGGTTTAGTTTGTTTTGCTGATGCAGGTAAAATCAGATTATGGCATGGTCAATAGATAGGAACTACGTGTGGCTTGATCCCTTCCAAGGGTACGTAGGCAGCCTTCTTCAAGGCGCAGCTACTACAACATCAAAGACCATCATATGAGGAGACAACACGCCTGTATCGCTCAGCTCAAGGACGGCTACATCAAGGGAGATCGGACGAAGCACATTCTAACAAAGTTCTTCTTCACGCATGACTTGCAAAGGGATGGAGAAGTTCGAGTGGTACAAGTTCGATCCAGCGACAACTCAGCCGATCTCTTTACCAAGGCATTACCAACATCGACATTGAGGAAGCTCACGCATCAAATTGGAATGCGGAGACTTAAGGACTTGCAGGGATGACCAAAACAGGGGGAGTAATACGTGCTGTACTCTTTTTCCTTAACCATGGTTTTGTCCCAATGGGTTTTCCTGGTAAGGTTTTAATGAGGCAGCATCCCCAAGCGTATTACTGAGATCCTTTGGCATCTACACGGTTATGTCATCCAAGGGGGAGTGTTATAAACCACATGTTGGATGGACTCCATAACCGTGGACCTTATGCATATTCTAGAAGGCCCATGTCCATGTCCTAGAAGGCCCATGCCCATGTTCTTGAAGATTCTCCTTATGACGGCCTATATTGTACTTAGTGGGCTTTTGGGCTTTAGGGTTTACTAGCCCAATGGGGATTTGTCTCCCCTCATCATGTATATATATGTATCGAAATCTCATTCATTAATCAATAGAACAACACAGTTTACAACAGGAACTAAATCTTCAATGGGGAGAAAATTGATCTCTCATGAGAGGCTCCCTCATCAATTGTGAAAAAAAATAAATCAGAAAGAATTTATTTTGAGAGAAACAGCTCTCATTAGAGAAATCTTGAGTGATAAGAGAGACGATGACGTGACTTATTCTGAACCGTCGATTGTTTTGATCAAAAAAAAAAAAAACGCGTAAAAAAAAAAGCAAAGTAGCGAAACTCGATTTCATTTCCGACTCTTGTCTCTTTTTCTTTGCGAGACGCCACCATCGCCTGTCTCCGCCACGGGGAAGTCAGCGAAGTCTTTCGAGCAAGATCTGATGGAGATGCAGACTATGTTGGAGAAGATGAAGATCGAGAAGGAGAAGACGGAGGAGTTGCTTAAGGAGAAAGACGAGATTCTGAGAAAGAAGGAGGAGGAGCTAGAGACGAGAGACGCTGAGCAGGAGAAACTTAAGGTGGAGCTGAAGAACCTTCAGAAGACGAAGGAATTCAAACCTAACATGGTATAATCTCTAGATCTAGCTTTTGGTTCTCGATTTGGCTGGGTTTTTGTGATTAGATTGGAATTTTGTGATTGATTCATTTGAGATTTTGGCTTGATAGTTGATATTCCAATTTTGGCTTTCGATATACTTTAGATTGGAATATATCTGATTTATGCTGATTCCGAATGTGTAATTGATCATTTGAGATTTTTTCTTTGACAGTTGATACAAGTTTTTTCATAGATTCATAGGTTAGAGAGTAGAATCTAAGTCAGATTCAGGATTGGTTCTCTTTTAGTGCATGTCTCTTTGGTTTCACATTTATAAAGAAAAACCATGTAAACAAGATCATTACTAGTTGCATTTGTTACTTTTTCTTACAAGTTTTATCCTCTTGTTTCCATTGGTGGATGGTGTAGCAAGATGATGCTCGTTCGTATATTCAAGAAAGTACCAAGGAAGGCAGCTGGGATTCCGGTTTTCGCAAAAGGAAGTTAGGAGGAGATGGAAAGAAGACGTCCTATTGGTACATGTCCTATTACTTCTCGCTATGTTTCTAAATTTGGTGTGAATGTGATCAACTTTTTTCTTTTTATATTTCGCTGTAGGTTTGATGGTAATGACATCCAAGGGTACAAAATATATAGGGAAGTCAATGAAATCTCAAAGAAGAATGCTGGCTCAGATTTATCTTGTTTGAGCTGGGAAACTGAAGCAACCAATCTAGATGAGAGTCGCTGTAAGATTTTGATCTATGTTTGTGCTTCTACTCTTTAAGATGTGAGGAACTGTTTTGACATTCATTAAGTATATCCTGTAATGGCAGAGGGAGTTATCATCAAGCAAAGCTTCTTCTTTGGCTGCAATTGGTGGGATGATTGAGACAGAAGCTATACCAGTTGTTGAGAAATATCATAAGGTATTTTTTTCTACTGCTACCTACATCTCTCTAATTACTTCTTAATGTTATATCATGTTCTAAAGACTGTTGTCACTGTCCTCCAGGTGATGGTTGCAAGGTCGGGGCAGCTTGTATATGTCCAAATCAGTTTCTCAGGTATGAATTCTTTGTCTCTGTACAGCTTGTATATGTAAAAAACAGATCTCACAGTGTTGAGCCAGTACATGTTTTACTCTTTTCATGTTTTTGCTGTTTCAAATCCTGGGAATAAGGAATAATTTTAATATAGTTGGTCTTTTTTGTTCATTGGTCATTTTTTTACAGATCATTGATACATTTTTGGATACAGTCATGTCTGTTGTAGTTTAATGTGTTTAATGTATGATGTGTTTGTAAAATGAATTCTTTGTCTCTGTTTTGGTGAGGTTAAATGAAGTGGTTGAGTCTTTTCTCACAAGTGGAGAAGGCATCGATTTAACAGACTCTAAATCAAGGTACAGTTCAAAGTAGTTGTTTCATTTAATTGCTGGTTTGTGCTATGTGATTAATGCTTGGTTTGTGTTTGATTAGGACAGTTTTTGCTTTTGTAAATGTTTTCTTTGTTCTTTGAAATAAATGCTTTCTAGTTGGAGTATTGTAGGTAAAGACAATTAGTGTCTTTACCTTGGCATTCATTGCTAATACTTCAATAAGTTTCAGTCTTCTTCCTTAAAACACAATCACGCTTACAAAACACAAAACACAATCAATTTTCAGCCTTCAGCCTAAAAACACAATCACTTCCTTTAACACAATCACTTTCACTTCCTTTAACCTTCAGCCTAACCCAAAACACAATCACTTTCACTTTCATATCTAAAAAATGGATGATATGAATCCATTTAATCAGTCATCGGGTTTCATGGATCTATTGCAAAGTCAACAAGAAGACATGTCTCAGTTTGCAAGTGGATCAACTGAAGTCCCAGCTTTTAGTAGTCAACTGTCTGAAGAAGGAAGTGAAGATGAAGGAAATGAAGCTGAAATCAAACCGAAGCAAAGCATATCACGAAAGAAATGGACAGCAAAAGAAGATATTGTTCTCGTCAGTGCTTGGCTTAATACCAGCAAGGATCCGGTGATTGGTAATGACCAACAAGGTCAATCCTTTTGGAAGAGGATTGCAGCATATGTTGCTGCTAGTCCTTCCCTTGACGGAATGCCAAAGAGAGAGCATGCTCAATGTAAACAAAGGTGGGCAAAGGTCAATAAAAGTGTTACCAAGTTTGTGGGTTGTCATAAGACAGCAACAACTCATAAAACTAGTGGTCAGTCAGAGGATGATGTTATGAAGCTGGCTCACGAGATCTACTACAATGATACCAAGAAGAATTTCACTTTAGATCATGCATGGAGAGAGTTAAAGTTTGATCAGAAATGGTGTGAAGCTACAACTCGAGGAGGAAATGATAATGCTAAAAGAAGGAAGTGTGGGGATGGTAATGCAAGTTCCCAGCCTATCAATGTTGAAGATGATTCAGTCATGAGTCGACCTCCTGGTGTGAAGGTAGCCAAAGCGAAAGGAAGGAAGTCAGCCACTGTTAAAGAAGGAAAGAAGCCAGCAACGGGTAAAGGAGAAGCAGGCCAGTCTGTGGAACATTTTCAGAATTTGTGGGAACTAAAGGAGAAGGATTGGGATCTTAAAGAGAAGCAAAGCAAGTATCAGATGCTTGAAAGTCTACTTTCAAGAACTGAGCCTCTTTCGGACATTGACTTGTTCCTAAAAAATAAGCTAATCACGGAGCTTTGGTCCTAAGTTTTAAAGTTTTAGTTTGGTCCTAAGTTTTAAGCTAAGAATCAGATGCTTTTTAGTTTTTTTGTCTCATGTATGATATTGCTTTGTAAGTTCTAGTATTATGTCTCATGTATGATATTGTTTAAAGTTCTAGTTTAAGTCTATGTACTCTAAAGCTTTGTAACTTGTCTTGTATGATATTGCTTTGTAATGTATGATATGTCTTGTTGTGTATCATGTGTCATGTTTTAACTTGTCTTGTTTTTTTGCTAGATGCCAAAGAGACCAATGTGTGCAAGTGGTGTGTTGTCTGATGCCAAAGAGATCAATATGTACCACAAATAATTTGTATGTTTTTTGTGAACCACGAACTTTATTCTAGCTAATTTGTACCACAAACGAGCTTATTCTTTGGGTACCACAAACTTTATTCTTTATTTTTTACCTTTGCTATAAATAATATCCATCGTCTTTAGATGTCTCACAACTCAAACTTTTCTATTATTGTTCTTTGCTTCAACTACAAAAACTATTTTTCCCTTAATTTTTCTTTGCTTTGACCACAAAACAATCAACCACCAAAGCTTTTATATATATCTATATTGTTTAATACTTAAACCTACCAAACAATATGGCCTCTTCATCCCGTACTCCATTCGACGACGCCATGGAAGAAAGCTTCTCTCAATCACTTGATCAACAATTCGAGAATATGTTCGTCGAATTGTCTAATGGCGAAGAGGCGGCAAAGAAAAATAGGAAACGAGCCTATTTTGATAGAAAACGCGAAGAAGGGCACGTCCTTTTATGGAACGATTATTTTAGTGATAATGCGATGTTTCTACCTCAAACTTTTCGCCGCCATTTTCGAATGAACAAGCCGTTGTTCTTGCGTATTGTTGAGCGACTCTTCAGTGAAATCCCATTCTTTCAACATCGAAGAGATGCCACATGAAGGTTTGGACACTCTCCAATACAAAAATGTACGGCAGCCATGCGTTTGCTTGCTTATGGTTATGCGTCTGATGCGGTTGACGAATACCTCCGTATGGGTGAAAGCACTGCGATGTCTTGCTTGGAGAATTTTACAGAGGGAATTATTTCTTTCTTCGGAGATGAATATCTAAGAGCACCTACAGCCACAGATCTGAGAAGACTACTCAATATTGGAAAGATACGCGGATTTCCCAGGATGATAGAAAGTCTCGATTGTATGCACTAGGAGTGGAAAAATTGTCCCATCGCTTGGAAAGGCCAGTATACACGTGGCTCTGGAAAACCAACCATCGTTTTAGAGGCGGTCCCATCACAAGATCTCTGGATTTGGCACGCATTTTTTGGACCTCCAGGTACCTTAAACGATATAAATATTCTTGATCGATCACCAATTTTTGATGATATATTACAAGGTCGAGCTCCGAATGTGAATTACAAAGTCAATGGACGGGAGTATCATTTAGCTTACTATCTCACAGATGGTATTTATCCGAAATGGGCGACTTTTATCCAATCTATTCGACTACCACAAACTCGGAAAGACACTTTATTTGCTACACATCAAGAAGCGGCCCGTAAAGATGTCGAACGTGCATTTGGAGTATTGCAAGCTCGCTTTCACATTATTAAAAACCCAGCTCTTGTTTGGGATAAGAAAAAAATTGGAAATATTATGAAAGCATGTATCATACTGCACAATATGATAGTCGAAGACGAACGAGATGGGTACAACACTCAGTTTGATGTTTCAGAATTCCTACAAGTTGAAGGAAACCAAACTTCACAAGTCGATTTATCATATTCTACAGGTATGCCTCCAAATATCGAGAATATGATGGGCATGCGAAATCAACTTCGTGATCAAAATATGCATCAACAATTGAAAAGTGATTTGGTTGAGCATATATGGAGAAAATTTCGCAACAATCAACAGAATAACTAATCGTTTTTTTTTTCTCAAATTTATTTTCAAATGTATGAAATTATTGTATCTTTAATATGTTATGAATTGTAATATTTTTCAGATTTATGAAATAAAATAATAAAAAAAATAATTTAATTTTTTCCTGAGAACCCCACAAAGAGAGCCTACCATTGGACTTTGCAAAATTAACAAAAGCTCTCATCTCATAAATTTTAGAATTTTAATCTTAAAAGAATGGTGAGAGCCCAATGGAGATGCTCTCACCATTGGAGATGCTCTTATGTTGCATAGTGGGGACAAATCTAACTGCTCCTCAATTCATCAACAAATTTCATTATGGATTTCAGAGATCGAAAAGAAATGCTTACAATCTTCCCATGAGTCACTATCGGCATCACATCCCTTTTGGCAGAATACTCTCCCTACACAGATTCAGGATTTATCATCAGTGCCTAAACTGATGTTAAAGCTAAAAAACGGATTACTATGATCCTGAACAAGAGTTATACAACAACATGGAGGATAAATATAATTCAGCTAGCTTTTGTGACCATGAATGGATTTGAGAGATCAAAGAATGAAAAGCTTTCATCAGAAATAGCCAAACCAATCCCATTTACTAGATAAGGCATACATATGTGTCTATACTTCACAGAAGCAACATCGATGCAGAATCAACTTTATTACTGTTACTTGAGTCTTTCCCTTAAAACTCTTTCAGTTCTTAAACTACAACTTCTTACTATCTTCCTCTTTATCCTATTAATTTAACCATTTTCCTAAATACTCTGCATAATCTCCCTTACTTAAAGGATTTCGTTTGAAAATCGCGGTCCAATTTCGTTTGTAAACAACTAATTAAGGCTTATGAACCAAGAAATCAATCAACAATTCAATTCCAAACAAAAACGAAGAAACCCTACTACTGAATCAACAAATCAATCAACAATCCAAATCAGAACCCCAATATACCCCTAATACTCTAAACACATGAGTTTCGTTATCCCTGTTGCATACAAATATGAAATATACTTGCTTAATACGATTTTATATACTATTATTACTATCAATTTCACAATTTTTTTTTTTTTTTCAAGTGATGCAAATAAAGATCGATAACACATAAAATAAAGATCATAGTCAAATCGATTTTAATATATAATCCAAAACGATATAAAAATGTAAAACCAATTTGGGCAATGCAATCTGAAGGCTTTTATTTTGTTGCAACATATGAGTCCTCTTCTCAGTACGATTTCATTAGACACATCAATATGATCGTCTTAAATGAATTAATGGTAACTTCAGATGCAGCCGTTAACTTCTTGAAGACAATCTAAGAAATGACAGATGTTGAGTTTCTCCTTCCTGTTGTAGATCGGCTCTTTGGACATACCATCTCTTTGAGCTGCCATCTCCATAAGAAGGTATAGCTGCTTTATTGGAATCTGAAAAAACATGTAAGAAAATGTTTAGAAGCAATGATCTAATAATCAAGACTCAATGAGATCGAGTACATACATCATCAAGGGCTTCAGAAGCTTCTTCGATATCATCTTCTGAGAACACGTTTAGTTGCTCTAGCACCTGAATCATGCATGGAACATGTTAGAAACTAGGGTTGGGACGTACGACCCGGTATGAGCCAGGCTAGCCTGGTTTCTAAAAGATGAGCCAACACAAAAAGTGAGGGTGCAAAGAAACTAGGTTACCTTCATGGCATCCTCTGTCCTCAATAATGAAACATAGTACGTAACAGAAAAAGTTTTACGCAAACCAACAGATTTTAAGAACGTTACTTCACTTGTTGTACCAAGTACAAGAAGTTTGCTTCCCTAGCAACACCAACAAAAAAATAATTACAAATTAAAGTTAGTGGGATTTTATATAATTTCTACCGTAATGAACTAAATTTTGCAACCATAAGCAATGAATAATAACTACATACACCAGGAGGAGACTGTTTGAGGAAAGTCAATAATGATTGAAGGATTTCGTTTGAAAATCGCGGTCCAATTTCAGTGTACTCCAACAGCCTACAATGTTATAGATATTCAACTGATGAGCTCCCATAAAAAAATCAATAATCGCAAAGTGTGTGAAAATAAGAACTTTGAAACAAATAGTATGATTGACCTTTCAATATCGTCAAGGATAACTATGCTCATTGGTGATTTGTATGCATCTTCAAAGACCTATTCTCATTTCAGTGTTAATTAGTAGATAAATGAATTAAAAGAGCACAAAGTTAAAAGAAATTAGAAAGCTTTTAAAAAGCTAGGGACCTTGGTAATGTGTGCGCATTTTTTGCTCTCATGAAGGCCATTCATAGCCTCTGCAGAGACCTTGTCAATGTAGTGAAACAAAATATCAAAAGACATAAAAAGATGCGAATTTAGTAAAGTTCAAAATTCCTAACTTGGCCCACTTACTATTTTGACATATGGGAAGTCACTGTCGATGCCAATGGTCGCGGCTAACGCAGTTTTTCCACTGCCCAAGAAGCTTAAAAATCAGTAAACGCTAGAAACAAAACGCTAAAACTTTGATAACCAACGCAAACGCTAATTAAAAGTTTACTTTTAAAAAGTATATATGTTTAAAATAAATAAACTTTTTCGCATATAAACGTAAACGCGTTTGAAATAATTTACCTTCCACTAGACCCATGAAGAAGGCAAGTGAGTGGAGGACTTATTTCGTTGACTTTAACTTGCTCAACAAGAAACATGACTCTTTCGTAGATGTACTTTTGCCGATAACCACAATCCACAAATCCCTTAGGTCTATATATATACATGTTTGTAAAATAGAGGAAACAATCAGCACTATACACATGCATATATAAAAATTCACAGATAATGCAATATATATGAACACATTAATTTAAGTTGACTAAACCTAGAGCAATGGAGTTTATATTACCTGCAGAGTTCAAGGTCTTTTGAAGAGGCTCCAAATGCAGGTTTAACTTCGAGTAGGGCTTGAAGAAAATCATCCATAGTAATTTTAATATTTTCTTCATCCACTGGCTTTGTTAGATCTTCCATGCTCAGTTGTCTATTGAAAGCATATGATGTTGCACTTTTTACTACACCTTCAAGCTCAGCACCACTGTAATTCTTTGTCCTAGCAGCTTTAAAATTAGATAAATCATGTCAATTAAGTGTCATATATATTTTAACATCAATACAAATGCAAAAGGCATACCAAGTTCTTGGAGATTGACATCAGGAGAAAGAAAAGAATTATCCTTCATTTTCTTTGTATGAATCTGAA